TCTAGGAATATTTACGTTGTGCTTTTAGGCAGTACCATATGTAGTGCAACTTTCGATACTGTCGTATTTTTTGTTGCAGTGATGTCGTTTCACCGTAGGTTTTGGTTAAAATCAGCAAAAACCACATGCTAGACTTTATAATTGCTTTATTTACTTAGGTAATTAATTTTTTATTTATTAAAATTTATGGGTTACATGTTTCCTGATTTTAGTCAACACTCACGTGGGTCATGGCGAATTGTAGTCGTCAGCGAGCACTGCCGTTTGTTTGGCATATTTTAGTGTGCTCACGCAGTTACATAATGCTGTACCTAATTGCCCGTTGGCCATCAGCTTTCTCCCAGTTTCTTGGCTGATTGCTTCTTGAAAGAAATTTCCATTTAAAAGTGAAATTTTGGCGGCACCGGGACTCGAACCCCGCACCCGTAAAGGACTAAGCGAACAACGAACCCATCGAGTCAACGGTCTCCTCCTCGATGCTAGTATAATTCTTAATCAGTCAGTCAGTTTCGATGATTGATCGCTTTTCCTTTCGTACCGTTGATTCAGACGCGTAAGACAGTGACTCCAACGTTCCCGACTCTGCGTCTCATCTGAGGCTCGACAAATGAAAACTCGAATCTAGATGAGAGCCACAGAGGCAATTGCCCCAAATTATTCCTCGCTGTCCCAGTTGTCTTCGGTTGGTATGTTGAGCAAATAGCAGATATTTCCTGTACGAAAGCATTCAAAGACGTGTCCAAGCCATCGCAGCTATTACTTCTCTCTCCGGAGAAACAGTGGATGCGTGTCAAGGCTCTTTGGATATCTGAACTCCCATTTATTTCGAGATGCTTGGGCTCACTGATACGCCTCATAAGCACATTTCAGAGCTTGCACCCGGGATCGAAATTTTCCGACTTGGCCTGTGACTTCTGACCATAGGAGTGGGCATCGAGATGGACTGCTTGGCCTTCAGGCTCGACTTTCTCTCTTAGCTCGGAATAGATCACGCAGTAAACTCATTTGCTCCCATTTTCCATCACCAGTACCGACATGCATGAACTTCGCCTGTTTCGCTGTTCGTACGTTTATCTGCAGGGCGCAAGGGCAGATATGTGGGTAAACACTGTGCTTTTCGTTTTGCGTCGATCACGTCGCATTCGGCTGCGAACTTTTCCACAGAGCACTGGAGGTCAGTTTCAGAAGATACCAACAAAACAAGGTCGTTTGCAGACACCGATCTACAAATCTCCACATGTCCGACGCTGATACACTCGTCCCTTAGCGTACAGCACAAACGGGAGAGGAGACAAAGCAGACCGTTGGCCAAGACTATTGTCAAAAATCGCTGAAAGATTTCGATATGAATTAGAGTTCTGCAGAAATTGCCAGATTTGCAAATCATTGAACTTGCGAAGGGCATAATTTCCTCCGTTTCGTGACA